TTATTGTTTTTTTTTCAACGTCTAATTTCCAATATGATGCCAGCAAGTGAAGCATTAAACGATTCTGTCAATGCATTGCAACAACTTTAAATAGATATATAACTTCACGTCTAGGGACAACCCCGAAGTGGATATATTGGGCGCCAATCTGTATAACATGTATCTTCGCCGTTACCGTCGTTTATCGGGTGGCCGTGAGGTGGCCCCTCCGGAACAGGCCAGGTTGGACAAAAAAGCGGCAGTCGCTTCGTCCAGAACAGTGCCAGCTGACGCAACCTTCCTTCCCCAGACTGCCCGTGGTGTCGAATGTGAGTTGATTTATGTAAACGCTCGCCTTAGTTTTTTTTGATTCCAACCTACCGTTTCGCTTCGACTATTCGTCTTACATCTTCTCTTCTCTGCCAAATTCCGCGTTCCCTTGTCTTCCTGAATTGTTCTTCTACCGTTATTTTCCCTTCTGTTTCTACTCCTTAATATTGTTTCGTTACATATTAGGCTGTCCGGTTTTTGCCACGTTTTCCTCTTTTTTTGACTTGATGGTGTTCTTGCACAATTTCAGCTATTCTGGTTTGCACTGGTGTCTACAAGCCAGATGACCGTGATAAGCGTCAACTAACACAACCACAAAATTGTCATCGTGACTTCCTTGGTGCCACCGATTTGGTTCTGCCCAGTTTTGAGGTTGTTGATGTGCTCGAGGGCATGAAGCTTCTACTTTTGGAGGAACACTTCAACCCCAAACTGGCTTAGGACGGGATGGCTGATGGCACGGTAAAGAAGGTGGCTGTTAATTTCTCCCTCGCTCATCTTTCGCTCCGTTTCTCCATGCATTGAAACCCTCAATACACCCCACAGGTATTTTTCCTGTAGTGATCATCATGTCATTATCTGTCGCATCATCAACCTCCCACCTCCTAGCTCCACTGTACTAAACAGCCTCTCTACCTTTGCACCGATTTGTCTGTTGTCAACTAGGAGTGGTCCAATAAAACAGTTTAAATGAGTCTTACTTTTGTCGTAGAACCCCCAAAAGGTACTTCCACAGCTACATGTACGTGCAAGCTCTGCCTCTGTAATGGGTTACCTGGCGGAGGCGCCGGACCAACACTTACGGGGCATGCGCCACTGCAACAAATGCCACAAGCGCCTGGAGGCAATTGACGCTGCGACAGCAGCATTCGCACGGTCCCGCCTCCGGTTTTCTTGACCCTGTCTTTACAACGGTCGCAGGGATTTAAGTAAGTTAAACCCTAGCAACTGAGATCTCTTCCTTAGAAGAAGAGAAGACATGGGGGGCCAGAGTGGTAGAAACAGTCT